CAGACCCTCTGTCCTTAGACCCTCTGTCTTAGACCTCTGTCCTTAGACCCTCTGTCCTTAGACCCTCTGTCCTTAGACCCTCTGTCCTCAGACCCTCTGTCCTCAGACCCTCTGTCTCTCAGATACCCTCTGGTCCTCTGACCCTCGTCCTTAGACCCCTCTGTCCTTAGACCCTCTGTCCTTAGACCCTCTGTCCTTAGACCCTCTGTCCTCAGACCCTCTGTCCTTAGACCCTCTGTCCTTAGACCTCTGTCCTTAGACCCCTGTCCTTAGACCCTCTGTCCTAGACCCTCTGTCCTCAGACCCGCTGTCCTCAGACCCTCTGTCCTCAGACCTCGCTGTCCTCAGACCCTCTGTCCTCAGACCCTCTGTCCCTCAGACCCTCTGTCCTCAGACCTCTGTCCTCAGACCCTCTGTCCTTAGACCCTCTGTCCTTAGACCTCTGTCCCTTAGACCCTCTGTCCTTAGACCCTCTGTCCTCAGACCCTCTGTCCTCAGACCCTCTGTCCTTAGACCCTCTGTCCTCAGACCCTCTGTCCTCAGACCCTCTGTCCTTAGTCCTTGTCTTTGGCAAACAGGTGAATATTCGACTTTAACGCCAGAGCAATAATCCATTCTGCCTCCATGTATATGTCTTTTAAACTTAGCGTTGATTGATATGAGTTTTTTTTAGAGAATAACATGTTAAAGTAAAAACATGTGTTTCCAACATGTTGCCATGATGTTAGAAGACACACAAAAAACAACCATGAAATCCAAAAATATACAAAAAACACCCACAGCGAAAAACAAAGACAACACAAATGTACATATTTGTTATGTATTTGCCTTGAATTATTATTTTGCAGCGTTTTCGTTTTACATCTCTGGGTGCTAGCTATTCTTCAGATCTTTTTAAATGTATTGAAAATAAGCCTTTGGTTAAATGGGGTTAATGACACCTGTAGGTAAAGGCGTGGTCCATATCGCCAGATGGCCTGATGCTTAGTTAAATTCTCTTTCTGTGTTGTCACCTTTGGCAGAATACTTTTATGTTTTATAAATAGTTTTAATTGAGTTGAGTGTTTCCCATCTCTGCCTCTCTAATCTGGCTCTGTGCTGACTGAGAAGAAAACAGGCTTTCATGTGTGTCTGTGATTTGAGGAGGCGGGACTAAACTCACACCCAGGCCTCCTGATTGGCTGAAGGTGGGTGATGACAGTCGGTGCTTACATATAGACCCTCACTGATCCAGCAACACTCAGCTTCCTCTGCGACAACTCAGGTGAGTCTCTCTAAAAAACACTTTTACATATTTTAAGTTATTTGAGTGCTGAAGATTTAGGATGAGAATGTTTTTGTTTGTCTTGAGTGACAGATTTCTGCTTTTTCTTAAAGTAAATATAATCAAAAATACTGACTTAAAAACAGGAACGACTCATTATTTAAACAATTATTAATCCACATTAAGGATCTTAGTTCTACTGCAATGATAAATACATAGATTGGATGACTTAGATGTGTATATTGTAAACACAATCACAAAATGTAACATTTGAATAATAATACAAATCACACATTTATCCTCAATAAATGCTTCTGTCACATTATATTTATAGCATCATGTAGAATACCTTAATCTGTTTGTTAATTTATTTTCATTTTATATTGTAAAACACTTTTTAATATTGTGTTTTTGAACAGATGTTTGTTACAAACGTCCCAGTCTGTGATCACTGGTAATCTTGAGTTTTACAGGTTAACTCCGAAGAATCAAAATAAGTAAAAGTAATGATCAGAAGATTAGAACTGGACTTTAATTATTTGAGTTTGTCCTAAGTATATTGTATGTTGCCATGGAGGGACTAAGCTGCTTGTAGTGAGCACAATAAAAGCACAGAATAAACTCTACTTTCAGAAAACACTTTTACATAACCCCAGAAAATAACACAAACTGTTGTGATTTTGTGAAAGCAGTGTTGAAAATAAAACATGCAGTTTTGATGGAAATATAGTGCATTGCAATACTATTTGGGCTTGCATTAAAAACCTTTTTTGTGCATGTATTCTTGAAAGTAGTGAAAGAAGTATGCAGATATTTAACTTAGCTGCAATTAACCCTCCTGTTGTGCTCTTTCCCCTTACTTTGGTGTTCGCGGTCAAATGTGACCGGCCATTAACACATTAACACACAAACCATTAATCATCACCAAATGTCATTTAACACCCTTTCAAACTGTACATGTTGTATCAGATACTGGTATACATGAAACACTGCAGTAAATATACAAAGAATAGACACTGAACATGTATTGGTGTGCCAGGTGTGATCCATGTGGGGGGATGGGCACATAAGGGGGGGACACACATCTAGTGCGTGCGTGCGTGCGTGTGTGTGTGTGCATGTGTGTGTGTGTGTGTGTGTGTGTGCGTGTGTGTGTGTGCGTGTGTTTTATCTGATCCGGATGGTTACTAATTCCTTTTCTTCATGGGAAGAACACCGGGAACACCATGGAGTTACAAAGTTCACTAAATCATCCAAAGTTCAATGAAAGTGGTGATCAGCAATTGTACATGTTCAAATGTCGACTGTGAAGGATATCATGAAGCCTTAAGGCAATCGAATGTAAAACAAAAAAGTTACGATTGATGAAAATAGTAAATCGGTCAGATTTGACCCGAAGACAACAGGAGGGTTGAATGAAAGTAGTAATGCCACCGTGTGTGGGAAGTAAAAGTCCTTCTGTCACGATCTGTCGTTGTTTCCCTGTGTTTTATTTCCGTCACGGTTACAGAGCAGAGTACCTAGGACCCAAATGCAGAAGACAGTGTCTTTCATTGTTAATAGTTTCCTTTATTGGCAGAGCTGGGCCAGGCAACACGAGGCAAAGCACCAAAACATAATCTCTCTCCGACATTAGCCGTCCAAATATCATCAAGGGTCTGAAAACAACTGAGAGACGAGCAGAACTTAAATACCAGCAAGGCTTGTAATCACAAAGACACAGGTGGGGAGGGAGGAGAACCACAGGAGCACCAGGTGAACACAATCAGGTCCTCAGACAGGAGGGAAACAGGAAGCGGACTAAAGACGGGGTGAACACCTTTCAAAATAAAACAGGAAAGCAGCCAGACCGCGACACTTCAAAATAAAACACCGGCAGATCTTCAACACCTTCATTCAAAAACATTTTAAATATAAAAGCATGAGAGAAACTTGTACTCGAGAGTGAATGTAGTCAAATGCTAAATACAAATGTATATAAACGTAGAGAACATATTGTGGTAATAGTTTGATTTGCACGGGGGTGTTTCCACATGCAGGATTCATGTACATTCAGACGTTGAACAATGAAGGGCTGATTCTGGTTTTAAAGGATCGTGTAAAATAACTGCTGATTGTCGGGGTGTCAGAGCCTCCGTCTGATATCAGCCACGTTCAGGTTACAGGCTCTGCATACAGCACCACTTCTTGTTAAACATGTGTAGTTTAGTTAAAGGGGACCTATCATGCAAAATGCACTCTTGTACGTCTTGTATACCTGAATATGTGTCTCCGGTGCGTCAGGGAACTCACCAAGTGTCAGAAAACACAACCCTCTCTTTTCCTCCGTACCCAAATCTCTAAAAAGGGGGAACAACGGATCTGATCCAGATTTGAATTTTCCTGACGTGAGAAAAGGGGAGCTCCGCCTGCAACTCTCCACCTATCAGGGGAATGGGGGGTTGGGCCACGAACGTGTCCGTTCACACGAGACCGCTCAAAAGCGCTGGAGACGCTGTGGTACATGTGCCAGGCCTGTAGGTGGCGCTGTAGTCTGCCACACAAGCAGCGAAGAAGACTTTTGCAAAAACAGGGCAAAAAAGAGCAAATAGAGCGAAGGGAGGCATGGCTAAAATGCATGATCTGTTTGGTATTTTGAAAAAAAACCTTCACAGACATGTTAGGTATGGCCCTACAATATATTATTCAAATATAGCATGATAGGTCCACTTTAAGGTGTGTTAGTGTATAACTTGTTTACATTATGGACAACCTCCTGACTTTATCCTACGCCAGAGCATTTTGCTGTCATCGCTACAGACTTTTGATGTTTAACCGAAAAGTGAGACTGCTCCTGTAAGTCATGCATAACAGTGTCTCTTTCTTCCCCCAGGCATCGCTCACCCTCTGCCCTCAATCAGCTCCAACATGAGCCCAAAAAATGTGGTTTTCAAGAAGATTTGCAGTGACAAGTCGGTCAGTGAAACGTCTGCATGTGTATTTATATAATCATCTGAATGAGGTTTGGGAAGGGAAAGGCATGTGTGATAAAAACAGAGAGAGAGTAAAGCAGGTACTGTACAACATGAAACATAAAACACGTGGACAATGAAAGTGATGAAAACAAGAACACAGGTACTGATTGATTGATAATCGTTAGATGGTAGTTCTGTCCCTAAACCTCTCCTCCAGTCCTGCTTCACGACCACAGTCTCATTAGCACAGCATCCTTCAACATTATATACAACTCCTTTTACCCAACTCTTCTCTGTCGCAAAGCAAAACGTCTTTCGAGGACTTCTTTACCTTTCTTTTAAAACATATGGTGTTTGTTAAAGGAGACCTTCTGGAACTACAGTTTCATTCCTGTAGCTACAAACAAACAAAAGGCCCTCGATACATTATCGTTGAGCTGTTATACTCATGCTTGTTTGATAGTAAAGGATGTAGACTCCAGATCAGTTCATGTTGGCTCTCTGAGTGACATTTTGCAGATCAGCTGAGTATGGCTTTTTGTCAGATCACAAACAACGTTGATCTCTAACTTCCGTAACTTCCCTCAGATGTTTACAGCACGAAAGTCATGCTGTTAGTGCGTGCAGATCATAGAGTCCTGACCCGGAAATGTTGAGTACCCCCGAGTTCTATTTTAGAAATGCACAGTAAGGTCTCCGGCACATAGCAATCAGGGTTATTGAGGATGCTGAGTCCATGTCTGATCAAACATGGGAGTTTTAACCAGAAAGTAGCCATATTTCCTTTTTCTAGGGACCTCTGGATCATCTGGATTGGACAGGTTGCTTATTTAAACTAACTTGTCCACAGTAGAGGTAATAATGATCATCTTGTGCTCTCTGTATCCAATGGTCCCAACACTACTAGTGGTCAAAATCAGCCCAAACATGGACACTTTAAAACAGACATATTTGATCCTGAAATGTCAGAAATGGACTCAGCGATCTCAATAACCTCCAAAACAGCCACGCCATTTGTTAAACCATTGTCTGAGTATGCCAATTAATGCACCTTATGCTAATTGTACAAAGTGCCCAACATATGCAGGTTGGCATCCGGCAGTTTCTATGTGCTGGGGACCCGCACTTTACATTTCTAACATAACACTTTGGTGTACTCAACATTTCCTGGTTCATTGTGCAGATTACTAGACGACAGAGAAACACCTTTTCAAATGGCTGATTAAGTTCTTCTCAAAAGAGGATGTTATTGATATGTAAACAGATGGTTCCAGTTCTTTAGTCAGTGGGTATATAACTGATTCATGAGGGTTAGTACTAAGTGATAGGGATCTGCACAATCCCTTACAAACATTGAGTGTGTGATGGTCGAAAGATTGGGTTGTAAAAGATGGTTCAGTTTAGTTTTTCTATTGTTGAATACTTTGGTCGTTATTATGTTGGCTCTGTACGAGTTTCATTTATCAAGAAAGTTGATTTTATTTCAATTAAAATTACTTTATATAAGAAAAGTAAGGTTTGTTAGGGTAATGAGATGATCAAATATGGCGACAGGGATTCAAAGCTTCATTAGAAAGCCGGAAAAGAGACACTCAGTCCTAAATATGGTCCTTCTTTATCTCGTTAGGTCGGAGTCTACATGGGGAGAAGAGACTTTGTGGACCATGTGGATTCTGTGGATCCAGTGGGTGAGTTTCTCAATAGCAACATCACACATGTATCTGTCGTCAGGTTAAATCTGCCCCTCCATTTATATTCTAATATTACTAAAACTATATATTCAATGTTAGCTGTTCAGTGTCATGTCACAGTTAAATGAACCCCTTCTTATTCAGAGCATGTCTAACAGTAACATCTAAACATATACTGTTTGATTGTTCTTATGCAGAGAATCTGGAATCACAATTAGGCTCTAATTGTGTTTTTTATCATTATTTAAATGTGTTCTCATTATTATTTAAGTGCATTCTAGTCAGATACACTTTTTTCTACTGAGCACACACAATTCATTAAAAGCAAAGATAGTCTGGGTGTTTCTCAATGTCGAGGACGCTTCCTTGGTAGGACATGTCTTCCGAGTCAGGTCCTTCAGAAGTGAGGCAAGAATCCTTCCTGGTATTCGGAAAACGAAGAGTGGAACAGGCTAGCAAGTGTGCAGGTGTGCGTCATATGAGAGGCCCCGCCTTACATTTTCCGCCACAGATTTGGGGAAATTGGTCCGTGCGCAAAGCATTGTGGGGATTTTAAGGACGCCAAGTTTACCCATGTGCAGCCTCGAAATTACCCCCAAACCAAGGACGCGGCCTCGGTGGAATTCCAAGTATGCTAGAGATTGGAACAGTCCTTCGGCGGCACTCGATGACGTAGCATCCTTGAAATATTGGCTTGGAAGCCAGTATGCTCGACATTGAGAAACGGGCAATGTCTAGTAAATATGTACAAATATTATCTTATTGCGTTTTTTTTAATCTGTATTCTCTCAATGTTTCTTTTCTCTCAGCCAATTGACATATAATGTGAAATGACTGAACCTGTAAATAACACTATTGAATATTTCAGTGAAGTTTTCTGTTTCATATCATGAAATCCAAGTGTAATACATTTTATTTGTGTAGCACTTTGTGAACGCAGTCACGGTGTAAGAAGTTGTGGGAAACATTTTGATTATCCATGTAACTAAGTTTAAAAATACTGCTCCATCTTTATCACCTCATGACCTTTGAATGTTTTCTACCACCAGATGGCGTCATCCTCATCGATCCTCAGGCTCTGCAGGGGAGGAAAGGTCGGTACCAAAACACAAGCAATAACACAGGAAGTAGATCTCAGGACAGGGTTCACCTCACACATATTCTAAAATCTAACAGAGTCCACTTCAGAGGTGTAAAGTAACTAAGTAGATTTACTCAAGTACAGTACTTAAGTACAAATTGAGGTATTTTACTTTACTTGAGTATTTCCATGTTCTGCTACTGTGTACTTCTACTCCACTACAGTTCAGAGGTACATGGTGTACTTCTACTCCACTACATGTATTTAATCCCTTTAGTTACTTCACAGATCTGGATGAATGATGTGAAATATAACCAAGTGTTGAATCAGACTTTAGTTCCACCTGGAGTAAATCCACCAGCTACCCTGCAGTATACAAAGTACTTCAAACTAGCTGCACCTTCACCAGCTTTGAGAACACTTTCATGATCAATCATTATAAAACATATCATATATATTATTCTGAAATGGACCAATCTGCACAACGACTACTTTTACTGTCTTTCACTATATTTTGATGAGAATACTTTTCTACTTTGACTTGAGGAACATTTTGAATGCAGGACTTTTACTGTGACAGAGTATTCCTACACTCTGGTACTTCTACTTTTACTCAAGTACAAGATCTGAGTACTTCTACTTTTACTCAAGTACCAGATCTGAGTACTTCTACTTTTACTCAGTACAAGATTTGAGTACTTCTTCTTTTACTCAAGTACAAGATCTGAGTACTTCTACTTTTAATGAAGTACAAGATCTGAGTACTTCTACTTTTACTCAAGCACAATATCTGAGTACTTCTACTTTTACTCAAGTACAAGATCTGAGTACTTCTACTTTTACTCAAGTACAAGAGCTGAGTACTTCTACTTTTACTCAAGTACCAGATCTGAGTACTTCTACTTTTACTCAAGTACCAGATCTGAGTACTTCTACTTTTACTCAAGTACCAGATCTGAGTACTTCTACTTTTACTCAAGTACAAGATCTGAGTACTTCTATTTTTACTCAAGTACAAGATCTGAGTACTTCTACTTTTACTCAAGTACCAGATCTGAGTACTTCTACTTTTACTCAAGTACAAGATCTGAGTACTTCTACTTTTACTCAAGTACAAGAGCTGAGTACTTCTACTTTTACTCTAGAACAAGATCTGAGTACTTCTATTTTTACTCAAGTACAAGACCTGAGTACTTCTACTTTTACTCAAGTACCAGATCTGAGTACTTCTACTTTGACTCAAGTACCAGACCTGAGTACTTCTACTTTTACTCAAGTACCAGATCTGAGTACTTCTACTTTTACTCAAGTACCAGATCTGAGTACTTCTACTTTTACTCAAGTACCAGATCTGAGTACTTTGACTCAAGCACCAGACCTGAGTGCTTCTCCCTCCTCCGGTTGCTCCTCTGCCCTCAGTGTTCGTCACCCTGTCCTGCACCTTTCGATACGGCCGGGATGATGTGTCGGTTTTGGGGGTGGCTGTCCGGCGGGAGCTGCACGTGTCCAGCCGGCAGGTTTACCCCCCGCTGCAGGACCGCGAGAGCTGCATCCACAGCCGCATGCAGGCCAAGCTGCTGCAGAAGCTGGGAGACAACGCATACCCCTTCTTCTTCGAGGTACATTGTGGTGTAGAATAGTGATGTTACGTTCACGAACGATCCGATTCTTTTGATCGGGAACCGACTCGTACTTGGTGAGAGCCGTTGTTGCGCCCACTAGAATGGTTGATATGTTTTTGTTATTTTGAACAGTAGATGGCGTAATGGGCAACAACATAACTGGACTCCTGGCACAGCTGCATTGATTGTGACTGAGAGAGCAATCGTTTTTTGACCTTGTCTATCGTGTCTGTGAACACGCGGTTTTCCTTTGTAAATAAAATATATTGAAAAAGCTAAAACTTTGTCGTACATGGAAATTGCAAGCGTCCAATTCGTTTACCCAGTTTAGCCAATCCCAGGTGATATTGGGTGGCAATAGTCACCACAGCCGTTCTTTTTATCGTTGGTTCTCCGCCTGCCATAAATCCACTCGCCTTTAAAGGAACTTGCTCTCCTGAATGCAAATGTGCCGTAGATGATGGCATAACGCACGCTGCTTGAGCAGCAGCTTGGCTGGCTGAGAGAAGGAGCAAGTTATACATTTTTCTGTGAGTAAAAGTAGATTTCTGGCAATACAGCCAATCATTATCCTGGTGATTACTAACCCCGCCCCTTAAAACAAAAACGGCTCTATTGAACGGCTCTCGGAAAGGAGCCATAAGATCCGGCTCCCTTCAAAGAGCCGTAACTCCCTTCAAAGTGCAGAAATAGGAATAAAGATTCAAGTCAAGATTCAAGTTTCAAGGCTGTTATTGTCATGTGTCCATACTGTAGCGACAGTGTAGATATGACAATGACACGCTCAGGTCACAGGCTCCTCCAACAGAGCAACACAATACAACAGATCAAATAGTGGATGTGTTGTCTCCTCAGTTCCCGGACAACCTGCCTTGCTCGGTGATGCTGCAGCCGGGGCCGAACGACTCAGGAAAGGTAAGACCCTGCCAGGGAATCAAACCTTTACTGATGAAGTGAGCACGTGACGGGGGGGTGACGCCGGGTTCTCTTCTTCGCAGCAATGTTGCGTGGAGTTTGAGATCAAAGCCTTCAGCGCTGAGAGCCAGGACGCTAAAGTCCGCAAACGGTAGGATGTTTTTTTATATCTGTTTATTTAAAGGTCACCTATTATGCAAAATCCTCTTCTTCATGTCTCTTCTACATCAACATGTGTCCCCTCTTCTCCATGTCTCTTCTACATCAACATGTGTCCCCTCTTCTTCATGTCTCTATCTACATCACCATGTGTCCCCTCTTCTTCATGTCTCTTCTACATCAACATGTGTCCTCTCTTCTCATGTCTCTTCTACATCAGACATGTGTCCCTCTTCTTCATGTTGCGTCTACATCAACAATGTGTCCCCTCTTCTTCATGTCTGCTTCTACAATCAACATGTGGTCCCCTCTTCTTCATGTCTCCTCTACATCAACATGTGTCCCCTCTTCTTCATGTCTCCTCTACATCAACATGTGTCCCTCTTCTTCATGTCTCCTCTACATCAACATGTGTCCCCTCTCTTCATGTCTCTTCTACATCAACATGTGTCCCCTCTTCTTCATGTCTCTTCCTACATCAACATGTGTCCCCTCTTCTTCATGTCTCTTCTACATCAACATGTGTCCCCTCCTTCTTCATGTCTCTTCTACATCAACATGTGTTCCCCTCTTCTTCATGTCTCTTCTACATCAACATGTGTCCCCTCTTCTCATGTCTCTTCTACATCAACATGTGTCCCCTCTTCTTCATGTCTCTTCTACATCAACATGTGTCCCCTCTTCTCCATGTCTCTTCTACATCAACATGTGTCCCCTCTTCTCCATGTCTCTTCTTCATCAACATGTGTCCCCTCTTCTCCATGTCTCTTCTACATCAACCTGTGTGCCCTCTTCTTCATGTCTCTTCTACATCAACATGTGTCCCCATCTTCTTCCATGTCTCTTCTACATCAACATGTGCTAACCTCTTCTTCATGTCTCTTCTACATCAACATGTGTCCCTCTTCTTCATGTCTCTTCTTCTAACATCAACATGTGTCCCCTCTTCTTCAATGTCTCTTCTACATCAACATGTGTCCCATCTTCTTCAAGTCTGCTTCTACATCAACATGCTGTCCCCCTCTTCTTCATGTCTCTTCTACATCAACATGTGTCCCCTCTTCTTCATGTCCTCTTCTACATCAACATGTGTCCCCTCTTCTTCATGTCTCTTCTACATCAACATGTGTCCCCTCTTCTTCATGTCTCTTCTTCTACATCAACATGTGTCCCCTCTTCTTCATGTCTCTTCTACATCAACCTGTGTGCCCCTCTTCTTCATGTCTCTTCTACATCACATGTGTCCCCTCTTCTTCATGTCTCTTCTACATCAACATGTGTCCCCTCTGCTTCATGTCTCTTCTACATCAACATGTGTCCCCTCTTCTTCATGTCTCTTATACATCAACATGTGTCACCTCTTCTTCATGTCTTCTTCTACATCAACATGTGTCCCCTCTTCTTCATGTCTCTTCTTACATCAACAGTGTTCCCCTCTTCTTCATGTCTCTTCTTCTACATCAACATGTGTCCCCTCTTCTTCACTGTCACTCTCCTACATGCACCATGTGTCCCCTCTTCTTCAATGTCTCTTCTACATCAACATGTGTCCCCTCTTCTTCATGTCTTCTTCTACATCAACATGTGTCCCCTCTTCTTCATGTCTCTTCTACATCACCATGTGTCCCCTCTTGCTTCCTGTCTTCTTCTACATCAGACATGTGTCCCCTCTTCTGCCATGTCTCTTCTACATCAACATGTGTCCCCTCTTCTTGCATGTCTCTTCTCCGTCAACATGTGTCGGCACCTTCCCCTCTGCTTTACATGTCTCCTTCTACATCAACATGTGTCCCCTCTTCTTCAATGTCTCTTCTACATCAACCAGGTGTCCCCTCTTCTTCATGTCTCTCCTTCTACATCAACATGTGTCCCCTCTGTCTTCATGTCTTCTTCTACATCAAAATGTGTCCCCTCTTCTTCATGTCTGTTCTTACATCAACATGTGTCCTCCTCTTCTTCATGTCTCTTCTACATCAACATGTGTCCCCCTCTTCTTCATGTCTCGTCTACATCAACATGTGTTCCTCCTCTTCTTTCTTCAGGTCTCGTCTACAAATCAACATGTGTCCCCTCTTCTTGTCACGTCTCTTCTACAGTACATCACATGTGATCCCCTCTTCTTCATGTCTCTTCTACATCAAACATGTGTCCCCTCTTCTCCATGTCATCTCTACATCAAACAACAGTGGTCCCCTCTGTCCTCTTCATGTCTCTTCTACATCAACATGTGTCCCCTCTTCTTCATGTCTCTTCTACATCAACATGTGTCCCCTCTTCTCCATGTCTCTTCTACATCAACATGTGTCCCCTTTCTTCATGTCTTTCTACATCAACATGTGTCCCCTCTTCTTCATGTCTGTTCTTCATCAACATGTGTCCCTTCTTCATCGTTCTTGCTACATCAACATGTGTCCCCTCTCTCTTCATGTCTCTTCTACATCAACATGTGTCCCTCTCTTCATGTCTCTTAACATCAACATGTGTCCCTCTCTTCCACTTCTTCAGTTCTTCTACATCAACATGTGTCCCCTCTTCTTCATGTCTGTTCTTCATCAACATGTGTCCCCTCTTCTTCATGTCTCTTCTACATCAACATGTGTCCCCTCTTCTTCATGTCTCTTCTACATCAACATGTGTCCCCTCTTCTTCATGTCTCTTCTACATCAACATGTGTCCCCTCTTCTTCATGTCTCTTCTACATCAACATGTGTCCCCTCTTCTTCATGTCTCTTCTACATCAACATGTGTCCCCTCTTCTTCATGTCTCTTCTTACATCAACCATGTGTCATCTCTTCTTCATGTCCTTCTACATCAACATGTGTCCCCTCTTCTTCATGTCTCTTCTACATCAACATGTGTCCCCTCTTCTTCATGTCTCTTCTACATCAACATGTGTCCCCTCTTCTTCATGTCTCTTCTACATCAAACATGTTCCCCTCTTCTTCATGTCTGTTCTTCATCAACATGTGTCCCCTCTTCTTCATGTCTCTTCTACATCAACATGTGTCCCCTCTTCTTCATGTCTCTTCTACATCAACATGTGTCCCCTCTTCTTCATGTCTCTTCTTCATCAACATGTTGTCCCCTCTTCTTCATGTCTCTTCTACATCAACATGTGTCCCCTCTTCTTCATGTCTCTTCTTCATCAACATGTGTCCCCTCTGTGGAAAGAGACTCTGAAAGTTTCAGGAACAAAGATTCTCTCTTTTTGATCCATTTCTATAAAAACCTGTCTGAAAATGAGCTGATCAGATTTTGGCCACTTTGTGATGTCATAACGATGTGTTGTCTTGTCTAACCATTAGCCAATCAGCAACCAAGGTAACCCCCCCCCCCCTTATCACCTGAATCTCCTCCTAGAGCACCATTGAGTTCTTTGTAACCAAATGTCTCTCAGAGGGGCGTGGGGAGGGGCTCCTTATTTTCATCTAAAGTAACAGACAGCGAATCAGCACTTTGGAAACAGGGCTGAAACAGAGGGGATTATGGGTAATGCCAATCAGAGACAGGCTCTGGATATATCTGAGACCTATGATATATTGATGAAAGACAGTATAATAGGAGACCTTTAAAAAGACCCTCCAGAAAAACGCAGGCAAAAATCCTTGATTATGCGATCAAACATGCTTTATGTGATTTTATGCGGTGAAATTGCGGAAAGTTGTGAAATATGCGGAAAAAATAAATATTGGGCTGTCTTATTTATTTATTCTCTCTCACACACAACCTGCCACTAACGTTACACCCCTTTACTATTCAATTAAACACATTCAATGTTTATTTATTGTAAAAGAAATTGGGCTATTTTAATCACACACACACACACACACACACACACACACACACACACACACACACACACACACACACACACACACACACACACACACACATCTCAGCCTAATTCTGTTTTCATTTACTCGTTATCTGACCAGCTTCAATCTTGAAGGCTTCTCACCTCGTTTCTTGTAGCCCTCAAAGGGTTTTGGAGGTCGATGCCTCGGTGAACGTGAGTTGTTTGGCTTTCTTGTCCGCAGCAGCAGAAAGCATTTTGGAATCTTTGAATCCAATCCATTTTATTTCTATATCACATTTAAAAACAACAGAGTTGAACAAAGTGCTGTACATCAACAACTGTAAAAACATAGCATGAATACATGAAAACAGACAGGACATGAAACAAATGTAAAACACGAGACAATGAACCAGATCAGAAGCCACCGACTGAGGAACTCTCCGACATGACGTAAAAACAAAACGAAACACGAGTAAGATAAAACCCCACATTTAACAGCACAAGTCTCGCCTGGTCTGTAAAAGCCAGGGAAAAGAAGTAGGTTTTTAAACGAGATTTAAAAACAGGCAGAGTTGGAGCAAGTCTAACCTGGAGGGGCAATTAGTTCCATACTTTGGAGCTGCAACAGAAAAGGCTCTGTGTCCTCGCTGCTTCAACCTCGACTTAGGGACGACCAGAAGGAGTCTGCCAGCCGACCTCAGAATGAATCAAAGTGGGTCGTCACCGTCGATGTTCTGATTGATTGATTGATTGAAAAGTTTATTAACAGCTTGTATATTGGGTACAGTACAGTACAGCTCAAAACATACAATTGTTAAGGGGATGCAGACCAGAGAAAGACTTTCGTCTTGTTTACATCAGGGTCCCCATTTCCAATTCATCATGTCATTTAAGACATATAAGACATATAAGACATATTTGACATACAGATGGCTTATTTACAATTTACATACAGGTGGTTTTTTACATACAGATTGCTTATCTACAATTTTCATTTTAGATTTCGTTCTAATACATCCTAACCGGACATTTAAGACATACCAAGTCTACAGATATACAGTTAGTAACAGAGTCTAAAATGCGAGTATATACATAGATGGGGGGGGGGGAAGCTGTCCATTGAACGACAGGTTGAGATTTGTACCATTACCGGGGCCAGTTTTGCAATGCTCTCCCCCGAAGGTGCTCTTTAAGAGAGGTTTGGAAGGTAAGTATAGTTTTACTTTCCTTTACAGTTGTGGGAAGAGCGTTCCACCTTGATGTGGCATAATTGCGAAACGTGTATTCCCCCTTTTCTCTTATGCTCCAACACACAGTTGCACGGGGTGCAGAATAGTTTCCCCCCACTTTCGTGCGAGACATCGGGGAACTGCTTTGCCCGGTCTTTAGCAGAGATGTTCGTCGGTAAATGAGATGGATTAGATGTTTTCATCTTGGTGTTTTCTCTCTTGTGTGAGCTCCACACGTTCACTCTACGCTGTTGTTTACCTTCTGTGATGCGCGAGCTGATGACGTCATCATCATCATCACTTCACGTCAAGACGAGTTCACTTTTTTTTCATCAACTTTGTGTGGAAAAATGCGGGTATTATGCGCCTTTTGATAAATATGCGGCCTTTTAAAAATCTGCGCCATTTTGCTGATTATGCGGTAAATTCTGCGATCGCAGAATCGCGTTTTTCTGGAGGGTCTATTTAAAGCACTGAAACAAACAAAGTTAAAAAGACGAGGCTTTCCTTTTCACTTGAACAATGCAGAATCCGTTCTATCTTTGAAAGGTTGTGTTCCTTTATTCCATTATCCCAACAGGGAATTGTGCAATAATTATAATCTATAAACATCAGAATCAGAATACCTTAGTCCCACAGACGGGACATTTACGTTGTTACAGCAGAAAAGAGACAAAGACAGCTTAAAGTTACCTAGAAAGCATTCAAAATACACATCCTGTCTTGCAATTAAAGCCACTAGACTCCGTTAACAGAATCAGTCATTTAACTTTAATGATTATTTATAAAACAGACACGATTCAAACGGCACATAAACGAAGAAAAACTCTTTCCACTTTCCAACCATCCATCTGTTTGAGAGTCTGAAAGAGAGAGAGCATCAGGACTGAATCCTCTGCGGTTAAAACGCCTGCTTTCATGCACTTATTAAAACCCTGGACAGTATGTCCAAAACGGTGCTGCTGGGGTCCTCACACACACAAAGCCGTGGCAGCACATCACTCCCACCCTCATCCACCTCCACTGGCTGCCGGTCAAGTCCCGCATATCCTACAAAGTCCTCCTCCTTACCTACAAGGCCCTCCATGCCCAGGCCCCCCAGTACCTATTGGGCATCCTCCACCCACATGCCCCACCCCGGAACCTGCGGTCCTCAGACTCTGGCCTGCTCACCACCCCCCGCACCAAACTGTGAACCTTCGGGGACAGAGCCTTCAGTGTGGCAGCCCCCACCCTCTGGAACGCTCTCCCTGCGGAGATCTGCAACATCCCCACGCCTTCCAAAGGGCCTCAAGACCCGTCTGTTCACGAGGCCTTTGGCCCCTAATCGATCTGTTGTTTTGTCTGACTGGTTGTCTGATTGCCTTCTGTTTTGTTATGTTTGTTTTGCCCTGTTCTTCCTTGTAAAGCGACCGTCTCATGAAAGGCGCTTTATAAATCCAAGCTATTATTATTATTATTATTATTTTGTTGTAAGAACGATATAAATCTACTTGTGTTTTATGTTTTCGATACGCTGCTCTGTCGACAGGAGCACGGTGGCGCTGATAATCCGGAAGGTGCAGTACGCTCCGGACAGCGAGGTGGCGGCGCAGTCTGTGGAAATCAGCAAGGAGTTCGCCATGTCGGACAAACCGCTGCACGTGAAGGCCAGCCTGGACAAAGAGGTGGCTTCACATTATTATCTTCAGCTGCACGGACAAAGCACCTTTCAGAGCTCATTTCTAACCAGCCGCTGCATCTAGAGATGAGCAAGTCTTTCAGGGCGGCCGCTCATTGCACTCGAATAACTCAAATCACACGAAACCCAGTGGCTTCATTCGGTAATACCACGAGACGCCCTTTTATACACTTCAATTACATTGGATAACTCTTTTATAACCAAGTGAATATACCTGCAGGCCCCTTGTTGTTCTGTGTTTGCACTTATTGTCCGTCTCGTTAGATAAACGTCAGCTAATCTACATTTTGATTTGATCAGAATCCAGTTCATTTCCAAGTTGCTTTTCACATACAGGGAATCTGCTTTGGTGTGTTGGTGCACAATATGTGGAATACTTACAATAGTATATTTAAATAATACTATTCTACAATACATACAAAGGCAAAGGCAACCATATTCAGGTTAGGGTTAGGGTTAGGAAACACCGTTATACATGCATGAGACAGTTGAGTGAGAGGAGAGGAAATATCTAGGACGAATAAAACAAAACTAAAGGGCCATATATGAAACTATAATTCAGTTTAAAGGGGACCTATCATGCAAAATGCACTTTGTGATGTCTTCTCTCCATCAACATGTGTCCCCGGTGTGTCAGGGAACTCACGCAGCGTCAGAACATAAAACCCTCTCTCTTTTCCTCCGGACCCAAATCTCTAAAAACGGGGAACAACGGAGCTGATCCAGATTTGCGTCCGATATGACGTACTATCTGAAATGTGGACCCACGGCCCAATCAGAAACGTTGCTATCAGAAACAATGCCCGACTGTTTTGGACGTAATATGGTGTGTGTTTACATTAGCATCGCTAACACTCAGAGCTAACCTGTACTGGAGAGCATGTGTGTGAAGAAGCAGGAAGTAAAAAGGAACTCACCTTGTGGTATAACCGGCAAGAGAGAAAGCCTTTGAGCTCCAGACTGTTTCAGAGAGAATCCTTGATAATCCATGATATGGCGTTTCATCACGGCAGCATTTAGTTTAGACGGTAGCTGCCGGGTCCCGCATGAGCTCAGACCCTCCTCTTTAAAGCTTTTTCATTTTGTATCAATAATTTTAATTTTTTTGGTATTTTGAGCGAAACACTTCATAGACATGTTTTTTATATATTTTCATATATCTAAGACCTCTGCTATTGCCTAAAAGTAGCACGATAGGTGACCTTTAAACATGAAGAGTCTACGTCCCAGGTGTTTGGCCTGTGTGAGGGAAGTCATGCTAAAATCATGTTTACAATGAAAGAGATAAGTAGAAATGTACATAAAGGTTCACAGTATCAAATGGCTGAATATAAAGTGTGATAATACAACGTTTAGATTATTAACTTTGCATTAGAACATTTCGTCATTTTTAAAACAGGAGAATTGAATGTACAAATATTAGTAATGATGTTTGTTCACCTTGCGTTTTGTTTCCAGATGTATTACCACGGTGAGACGGTCAAGGTGAACCTCAGCATCACAAACAACACGAGCAAACACATCAAGAGCATCGTCGTCTCCGGTAAACATGACCCACGTTCACACTCAAGCTCGTTCTAATATGGAGGTTCAGTAAAGTCTCATTTCTACGTGTCTGACCTGTCTGATGCATGCAGTGACATTATGTCATGTTTCTTCCTCTCAGTGGATCAGATCTCCACCGTGGTGTTGTACTCCAACGACATCTGGGTCAAATCTGTGGCCATCGAGGAGCCTGGGTAATGCACAGCTCACACTTCACTAACACACATTACACACAAGCTCTGAACTGAGGTGGCCATGGAGGAGCCTGGGTAATGCACAGCTCACACTTCACTAACACACATTACACACAAGCTCTGAACTCAGGTGGCCATCGAGGAGCCTGGGTAATGCACAGCTCACACTTCACTAACACACATCACACACAAGCTCTGAACTCAGGTGGCCATCGAGGAGCCTGGGTAATGCACAGCTCACACTTCACTAACACACATCACACACAAGCTCTGAACTCAGGTGGCCATCGAGGAGCCTGGGTAATGCACAGCTCACACTTCACTAACACACATCACACACAAGCTCTGAACTCAGGTGGCCATCGAGGAGCCTGGGTAATGCACAGCTCACACTTCACTAACACACATTACACACAAGCTCTGAACTGAGGTGGCCATCGAGGAGCCTGGGTAATGCACAGCTCACACTTCACTAACACACATCACACACAAGCTCTGAACTCAGGTGGCCATCGAGGAGCCTGGGTAATGCACAGCTCACACTTCACTAACACACATCACACACAAGCTTTGAACTGAGGTGGCCATCGAGGAGCCTGGGTAATGCACAGCTCACACTTCACTAACACACATCACACAAACTTAGGTGGCCATCGAGGAGCCTGGGTAATGCACAGCTCACACTTTCACTAACACACATCACACACAAGCTCTGAACTCAGGTGGCCATCGAGGAGCCTGGGTAATGCACAGCTCACACTTCACTAACACACATTACACACAAGCTCTGAACTCAGGTGGCCATCGAGGAGCCTGGGTAATGCACAGCTCACACTTCACTAACACACATCACACACAAGCTCTGAACTGAGGTGGCCATCGAGGAGCCTGGGTAATGCACAGCTCACACTTCACTAACACACATCACACACAAGCTCTGAACTCAGGTGGCCATCGAGGAGCCTGGGTAATGCACAGCTCACACTTCACTAACACACATCACACACAAGCTCTGAACTCAGGTGGCCATCGAGGAGCCTGGGTAATGCACAGCTCACACTTCACTAACACACATCACACACAAGCTCTGAACTCAGGTGGCCATCGAGGAGCCTGGGTAATGCACAGCTCACACTTCACTAACACACAAGCTTTGAACTCAGGTGGCCATCGAGGAGCCTGGGTAATGCACAGCTCACACTTCACTAACACACATCACACACAAGCTTTGAACTCAGGTGGCCATCGAGGAGCCTGGGTAATGCACAGCTCACACTTCACTAACACACATTACACACAAGCTCTGAACTCAGGTGGCCATCGAGGAGCCTGGGTAATGCACAGCTCACACTTCACTAACACACATCACACACAAGCTCTGAACTCAGGTGGCCATCGAGGAGCCTGGGTAATGCACAGCTCACACTTCACTAACACACATCACACACAAGCTCTGAACTCAGGTGGCCATCGAGGAGCCTGGGTAATGCACAGCTCACACTTCACTAACACACATCACACACAAGCTCTGAACTGAGCTTTAGATTGAATGCTCAATAGCTCCAGCGAAGACATTCTGAAGTCTCATTCAGAAGTGCAACATAAAGTACTCTTTAAATACATTAAAAAAGACGGTAAATATTGTCACAATAGTGCATACATGTAAAATACAATAAGATGTCAAATAAATACTGAACAATGAACTTTAGTAGAAATGTAAGCTTTCATTTTAAAAACAAAGAAAAAGGAAATACTTCACTCAAAACTTTATCACAATAATGACTATTTTTAAATATGAAGGGATAAATAAAAATGCCCCTCAGAGTTAGAACAGATGGAGATTCAATCGCAACATAACTGCAGACGTGTTTTATACTGAGTGTGTCTCGGCTACTAAAAGATCAATCTCTTTATTTATTTATACAGCACATTTAAACAGCCTCAGTTGACTAAAGTGCTGTACAGGGAATAACTACAGTATCAAATAACACAATGGGAGTAAAATAATTCAACAATAATTAAAAACATGATAAAAATCACAATAACTAGAAACATAGAAATGAAAAAATGTAATGTATTAAATCATATTACATACATATGCTAAGAGACTGTACAACGGTCATCGTACAGCGTGTCATAAAGACATCAACATCTCGCTGTACTGCATGATTTCTGATTTTGTAATTGATTGATTATTTTAGTTTGATAATAAATCAACGGAGAATAAATCCACAGTGAGCTGTTGAGGATCAGGCACCTGATCCAAACCCTTGCTGGTAGGGTTGGATTCTTTACAAAGCAGCAAGATCAAGTGCACAAGAAACACGTTAAAAAAGGACATTAAAATACATTCAAAACATTCATTGTCCAGCCAAGAGAAAAGAAAAACATGAGTGCTAGCTAAAATAGAATTAGACAGTGTTACAGCTGAACAAGTTATTTCTAAGACCTTTTCCCAAGAACTAGGCCGATGGGGGGGGGGGGGGGGGGGTTTCACACCACAAAGATCTGGAACTAGTCCCTAGTTCGCACAAACCTTTTCACCCCCAGATCGTCCCTGCTAGAGAGGTGGTACTCTCCTGGGGAGGAAATGGTTCGTGGGCGTGTCGGCCACACTAACAATTTCTGATTGGCTGGGCGAAATGCAAACCACGCCCCGTAAAACTCAGAAAGGTTTTTTGCATTAGCATTATTAGCATTAGCATTAGCCCAGCGCACCAACGGAGAGAGACTAACTTATGGCAACACAAAATAAAACATGGGAGCGGTGGAGATGAGGAGGTGTCGGCGCTTCTGGAGATTTACTCGGAAGACTTCAGTAGAAGAAGAACCCAGCAGCTTCGACTGAAGCCTTCCCCACTCCGGGGGACTAGGGGACTCCGGGCGGCAGTATACGCCTTGAAGTGGTTTGCGGCCTGCCAGTAAACCCAAAGCAGAAGAAGAAGAAGTGACGTCAGCGGCTTCATTTGCCTAATCCTCCCTCAGGGAACTTATTCCCGTGTGAACGCGATCTACTAATAGTTCAGACTTCCGGGAATTATTCCTGGGAAAAGTACTCGGTGTGAAAGCGCCAAAAAAGAATCAGCAGCATCTAATATTATTGTATTTGTTGTGGAAAGCTGATGACGTGCGTTTATATCGTTTATGTGTTCAACGTTACTTCTGCTTGTTTCCTGGTTTTAGAGATTTCTAATAAATCCTCCTTGAAATGACGATAACGAACACAGTTTTAAGTTGCCTTCAATTTAAATCCTGCCTTAATAAATCAAATGCATCTTGAAAGTGTGTTCTTGGTCTAAAAAGTGATTTTCTTTGGTCAGAGGTCACTTTGCTTTATAGTTTAAACACTTTAAAGATAAATGTTGCATGAAAGAAAATGAATCAGGAGCAAAGTTGGGTTCATTTCAAACATATTGTTCTATTACAGCAGCTCTGACCTTTCTCCGGTCTCCGTGCTTTCTTTATAAATGCTTAAAAAGCTCAAAATGTGCCGTTACGATATTTTGGATTTTATTCCTATTTAATAACCTAATAAACGATTTCTTGACTTATTGGTAAACCTCTTTTTTTCTACTATAATTATTTTAAATCTTTGATGAACTGTAATCGTATTTTACTTTAAACAAACACTATCGCCACCTGAGTGAAAACAGATGCTTGGTCTTCAGGAAAGTGTGTTTAATATTAATGTGATCCATCGCTGTAATCACACAGTGCGTTTGCCCTACCCTCCTATTAACGCACTATCTTACATTTTAATCTATTCTATAATCTATGGTCATTGTTTGTGTATTTGTATGTCTTTTATTGGTGACGCACTTTGGACTGCACTTCTAGTTTGAAAGGTGCTATACAAATAAAACGTATTGTTAATAATTTAATATTATTAAAGTGTAATCCTAAAGGAATATAACTTTAAATAAACTGTATCGTCACCTTCTAGAGGAAACAGATGCACACATACATCCCAGTGAAGTAACTACATACATTTACTACTAAGTACTGTGCTTGAGTACAATTTTGAGGTACTTGTACTTTACTTGAGTATTTCCTTTTTATGCCACATTATACTTCTTCTCCTCTGCATTTATATAACAGCTTTAGCTACTTTTAACAAAACGCATCTCTAAAAATTCAAATTATTACAATGTTTTACAAAAAGTCCATCAGAACTTTGTTTTTCTACACCAGTAAAATGCTACTTCATGAAACACTATGATCTGGAAATGTCACACAACACTGAGTGTGTGTGTGTGTGTGTGTGTGTGTGTGTGTGTGTGTGTGTGTGTGTGTGTGTGTGTGTGTGTGTGTGTGTGTGTGTGTGTGTGTGTGTGTGTGTGTGTGTGTGTGTGTGTGTGTGTGTGTGTGTGTGTGTGTGTTGTGTCTCAGGGACTCGGTGCCTCCCGGAGAGAGTCTGCAGAAAGACTTCAAGCTGCTGCCTCTTCTGGCCAACAACCGCGAGAGGAGAGGCATCGCTCTGGACGGGAAGCTGAAGCACGAGGACACCAACCTGGCCTCGTCCAGCATGTGAGACACAAACCTTTATCTACATCACTAATGCAATCTTAAAGGTCCCCTCGTCTACTCTTTCTCATCAGTATATCACAGGTCTCAGATATATACAGAGCCTGTATATATCTAATAATATAATAATCCCCTCTGTTTCAGCCCTGTTTCCAAAGTGCTGATTCTCTGTCTGTTACTTTAGATGAAAATAAGGAGCCCCTCAGGGCAAATGAAACGTGTAACCGGAATGAAAAGGGTGTTACATTTACTTAATTATGAATGTTGTTACATCAAGGCCAAAAATTAGGATGAGCGCCAACGGTCAAAAATGTTTTTTCCCCTCCCAGAGCTGCCAGCGCCTCCCAGATCTGGCGCCTATGCCAAAAATCGGTCCTGCCAGTACATACAGTGGCAATGTCTCAAGATTTAGCAAAAATACACCTTTATTGAACATACAGTAACAGAAATACTACAAATCCACATAACAAACCATCACAAATTAAAAACGGTCGGCACTTATTATTGTTTTAATAAAAATGAAAAAAGTAAAAAAAAAACCTGGCTGCGCCCCCTAGCTGCGGCATGCATATTCCAGCAGCGGCGCTGCGCCGCCACTATTTGTATATAGGGGAAACACTGCCAGAAAACAGGTGAAAAAGTAGACCTGAGCCGGAACTACCTCTAGAGGAAAATCCCGGCCCGCCTAAACCGTGCTACGTGCTGCAGTGGAAAAGCGCAAAAAAGAAAATGTTGTCACATTTGTGTGAGGGATGATTTGCAGCGAGGCGGTCATTATTGAAAATAAAACACCCGTCGTTTGAAGAGAGGGTGAATGTGTGTTTGATTGAAAATGTTCATGTTGAATATTTTCTGTTTCAGTATCAAGGAGGGAGTTCAGAAGGAGGTGATGGGGATCATTGTCTCATACCGAGTCCT